TATTTACTCGATTAGGAGTTGCCCGGTAATAAACCCTAAAACCAAAAAAAAATTAGACTTGAACAAAATTAATAGGTTTGGAATAAACTAAATGAGCTTGGACTAAATAAAATAGAATTAAGTAGAGTCAATGGACCTAGGATAAAGTTAATGGGCTCGGATTAAAGTAAATGGACTTGGACCTTCTTTTAAATATTAATGAAATTAATGAACAATATTAATGAGCGGAGATTGTGTTCCCATTGTGGGTATCATGATTAGTATGTGAGCAATGGATAAATTCTGAGTGTGGGTTGAACCGTGAGTATGGCATGAGAATGAAGGGTTGGTATTCGAATTTGGTTGAATGTGATTAAATATGTCATCACGTGCATCATGTGCATAGTGGGTGGTTTAAGACAAGTCAATTGATTGAGAAATGATTTATATATCTAGGTTTGATAACCTAACTAGAATAAATGGGTATTAGTAGTCCAAGTACTCTAGGTCGTGTGCCCGCACTATTAGACGATGGATTCCCGCTAATAGAAGTTACAACGAGGGATAATTCCGTTATAGCGAGAAGATGATCCGAGGATGATCCGGATGAAATCAAGCTTGTGTGCTTGCACCTTGTTAGACGATGGATTCCCGCTAACGATAGTTACAATGAGGGATAATTTTGTTGTAGCGAAGTGATCCGCGGATCACCCGGATGATAAATAGAGTAGACTGGCTAATACCCGTGGTACTCGAGATTAAAATTTATGAGTATGGTGGAAAGTCAAAACAACATTGCATATCACGTGCATCACCCTACTTACCGAGCTTTGGCTCACCCCGTTGTTATTTTTTTTATGTCTTGACGAGAAAAAGAACAAGTTGGTATGGATGCGGTCGGCTCCTCCTAACTCGGCTCATGTGAGGCACTATATATTAGTTCTTATTTTTTCTCGTAAATTTGGGGTATGGAGTTCGTGAGAAATTGAATATTGCTCGTAATGTTTTATTAATGTATTTAATTATGTTATGTAAATTTTATCTTAAGGAGTTATATACGTAATGTACTATTAAAGTTCTAAGAATATCATAAGAAAACTACTTAGAGTTTAGGGTATGTCGGCGTAACGCGTTTCGTCCAAGCACTTACTTAGGTAGTAGAAATATGACCGATGCGAGGGTGTTACATATTTTCTCCCCGTATTGTCATAATTTATCAAAGTCTCTTGATTTTTCTCAAGCATTTGGACTTTTTCTAGAAGCTTACTATCGAAATATCTTGGACCAATTTATAAATATTTGAATCCTCTAAATTTTCATCTTACCCTTTTCTTTTAGGAATTTTTGCTTTTAGAATCGGTTGATCTTCCATTCTTTAGACGTGCTTTAGATTCATTAAGTATAACATTAATAGATTATCCTTCTATTGCTTTATGTCGACATTCTTCAATAAATTTAGGCTCGGGATCCTTATTTTCATTCAAGATATCAATTGAAACATTATATGCAAAAATCTTATCAATAAATATTTCTTTTCGGTCCTATTTTCTCTCTCGTATTGTCATAATTTATCAAAGTCTCTTGATTTTTTTTCAAGCATTTGGATTTCTTCTAGAAGCTTATTATCGAAATATCTTGGACAATTTTATAAATATTTACACCCTCTAAATTTTCATTTGACCCTTTTCTTTTAGGAATTTTTGCTTTTAGAATCGATTGATCTTTCACTCTTTAGGTGTGCTTTAGATTCATTAGGTATAACATCAATAGATTATCCTTTTAGGATATCAATTCTAATAAGAGCATTCTCGGTGGAGATATGCATTTTAGTTACTCATTTACAATCCGAGAATGCATCTAGCAGTTAGTTTGTAATACTTTATAAATGAATTATCTTTTGAACTTCTAGTTCACATTATTTTGTATGAGGATGAAGATGATATAAGATAGAGTACTCCATGTAATCTTTTTTTTTTTTTAACATTTTCAACTACGTATTTTGTTTATTCGCTCCCCTAATGTTGAAAAAATTATTTCATCAAAATGATAGTCGATAAATGGAGTTGTAAAAATATCTCTTATTCATGATTCAAGATATTTAATTATAAAAAATATTTAAATCCAATATATATTTTTAATCTCCTTTAAGTGCTCATTTTAGTTCATTATGGAGGAGCATTATGGATATATACTCGCAATGCCAAAAAAAATTTTAAATAAGAAATATTTGACTCATAAACATAAACCAATTAAAGGGGAGAGAATTTTCAATAACTTATGGATCTAATATGAATAAGTGTTGCTGCATGAAAGATTGCATGTCACCAAACATAAATAGAGAGTTTTATTTTAAATAATGGTTTAACTATCAATTAGAGTTTTTTGATAAATGATTTTGCTAAACCTTTTTGAGTATAAACATGAGTAATAGGATGTTCAACTTTTATTCTAATAGCCAACCAATAATAATTTAATGCTTGAGAAATAAATTTATCAATATTATCAAGGTGACTTATTTTAATGGCATAATTTGAAAATTGTGCTCGAAATCAAATTATTTGCTAGCAATCTTAAAAACTTTAGGTTTCGATTAGATGATAAGCATATATGTGACCATCTTGTGAATGCATTTATTAAAATCATAAAATATCTAAATGGTCCATATGATGGATGAATTGATGGTGATCATATATATGGATGAATTGATCCACATATACGATCACCTTGAATACGTTCTAAAAATATTGAAGATTCAATTTCAATTTTATTTAGTGATGACTTAATAATCAATTTACTTTGATAACATGCAGGACATGAAAATTTATTAAATTGAAGAATCTTCCGACTCTTCAATAGATGTTCATATGAATTTTCAATAATTTTTTGCACTATGAAAGACTTAAGATAACACAATCGGTCATGCCACATAATAAAAGTATTTGAATGAGTAAACTTCTAGTTTACTATAATATTTGTTTTAATCATTTCAATATTTATAATAAAGATCAAAAGAGAAAGCGGATAAAATTTTTCAATACATATTTTCTCGCCAGTATAATGATTATAATAAATAAGTATTTACATTTGCTATCTTGATATGATATCAATTTAGATAAATATATTTAAAATTTAATAAATTTCTATGAGACTTTGAAGAGAATAGTACATCATTTGTAATAAAATTTATCATTTCGGATAATAACATATTTGCTCTTCTAGAGCCTTTAAATTAGTCACTTTAAGTAATAATATATCGATTCTTCTAGAACCTTTAAAAGTTGTCTCTTCAAGTAATAATATATTCACTCTTCTAAAGTTTTAAAACTTTGTCTCTTTAGGTCATGATATAATTGTTCTTCCGAAGCTTTCGTTAAATTGATATTATCAAATATAATACTAACATAAAATGAATAAATAAATAAATAATTTTTTCATAACCACAAATAAATAAAAATATAAATAAATAGTAAAATAAATTTATCACTATCTCTATGTAATAAAAATTATAAGAAAATATAAAACATTTTATAAATAGAAAAGGTAACAAGTTATTAATTTCAGTTACCTCTATTTTGATATATAAAATTGACCTCTATATTTTATTTTTTCCTTTTTAACGAGGTTTGACAAGGCTTAATGAGGTACTTTGGTGGACGACATCTACATGACCAATGTGCATTCATATCATATCTATAATATTCATTTTCGAATACTGATCTTATCTATTTTTATTTTTTTTATTTTTTCATAGTTATCAACTTCTAACGGTGCGATATAATATTATGGTCATCATGATTATAATGATAATTATTTCGACCACGTCCATTGTAATGACCACTTCCTCGTCCATGCCTAAAATTAGTATAAATTGTCACATTCACTTCGGGAAATGGAGTAGATCCAATTGAACGTGATTTATTCTTTTTCATCAATAGTTTTTTTTTTATTTTATTTAGTCACGAACAAGTATGAAATTGATTGAAAATATTTCTTAAACTCTTTTTCTCGATATGCTACTATAGGATCATATTCGAGAAATGAAAATTAGATGATATTAACTCAGCATCAAGCATTCATGATCAATAATTCTTGCTCAAAATGTTAAGGGCTACAAAATCCAGTTTTGTGATGGTTGATATCATTAAATTGTATATTGCAAAGTATAATAATAATATTAGGAAATAAAGACAAAATATAAAAAAAAGTTTAAATAAAAACAAATATAATGATAAAATTTGAAATTTTCAAATAATTTATATTAGATTATTATATTCTATATATTAAATCATTTAAGTTTTTCAAATATATATTCTATGTATCATCGGATTTAAAGTAAAAGATAAATTAGATACATACATCTTGATAATCTAGATAATTTAGATATTTTGATAGAGTACTTGTGTAAAAAAAATCAAATGATTGAAATAAATGATTAAGTCTTTTGGTAGATACATACCTCATGATTTATTATCTCGATTGGTTAAAACTTAGTGCTGATAATGTGTTATGAAAGAAATAGAAATAATAGGAGAATTGAAGAGAAAAATGAATTCAATATGAGATAAAGTGACTACAAGAGATAACAACTTCAAATAATCTCTCAATCTCTACAAAATACTTATGCATAAACTAATAAACTATCAAACCTATTTAAGGTTTTAAGATTAGGAGAAAAAATTAAAAGGATTATGAACTATTAAGAGATACATAAATAATTGAGTAAATTATATCATTTTTTTTAATTTTTTATATTGAACGAGGAATTGAATTATATGAATAGTGATGAAATAGATATTTATTATTTCATAACAAAAATATTATAATTTTATTTTTATATGTTTTTCTCTCAAAAGTAAATACACATGTCATTTTAAAATTTTTTCAAACCCACTTGTCAAACCGACTTCTTTTCCACTCAGCTTTGTGAACATAAATGCCACATGAGGCAGCAGCTCTGACTCGCTCGCTGCTCATTTTGGAGTTGTCGCAGTAGCTGGCTGGCTAGCAAACACTCCACAATCATGTCCATTATGCCAAGCCTTGCCTTCACCCCCACAAATGGCTCTTCTGCCCATGAACCGTTCCTCAAATTCTTTGACTGCTGGCTTGTAGAGCAAAACAATTATCTCCAAGAACTCATCTCAGCTTGTAAAGATTATGATCGCAACAAAAACAACACCAGGGGCAGTGCCGAATCATCTCAGGCAACTCTTCAGCCTCTTATCAACCGTGTTCTTGGACATTATGAGCATTACTATGGAGCCAAGTCAAGGTGGGCCAAAAAGGATGTGTTAAGCATGTTATCGCCTTCATGGAAGAGCGCTCTTGAGGGTGCTTTTCTTTGGATTGGTGGGTGGAGACCCACTATGGCTTTTCACTTGCTCTACTCAAAGTCAGGGATACAACTCGAGGCCCAGCTCCACGAGTTGATTCGTGGGATCGGCACCGGTGACTTGGGTGATCTTTCACCGAGTCAACTCACCCGAGTTGATGAGTTGCAGAGGAAGACTATAAGGGAAGAGAAGGAGCTGACAGAGAAGTTTGCAAAGCATCAAGAAACCGTAGCAGACTCGTCTATGGTCGAGTTATCACACGAGGTGAGTTATTTGTTTATTTATTTATTTTTCTTCTTTTGTAAATTTGCACGACGGATGACGTCAAGGAAGACGCGTTCAGGTGAGTGAGTTGCTGAGGAGCGAGCAGACAGATCATGAAGCGGAGGAAGAGCGAGTTGAGTCAACTCTGGCGGCTAAGGAGGAAGGATGGGAAGAAATCTTGCAAGAGGCCGATGATATACGGGTGAGAACTCTGAAAGGTGTTATTGAGATTTTGACTCCAATCCAAGCCGTTCATTTCTTGATCGCTGCAGCTGAGTTGCACTTGCGGCTTCATGATTGGGGTAAGAAGAGGGATGATCGAGCACATCGCGGTCCCCACTAAAATGCCACGTGTAACAACAACACGCATGTTATATAAATTAACGAATATTCGGTTACGATTTTGTCGACATAATTAAGAAATTAGGAGATTGATTTGAGGCAGGAAAAATTAACCAAAGGTATGTAATGCTTAATTACATTATTAGATTTAGTCAAATTGAGATGATGATGATGTTGTACCACATTTTCCAGCCCATTTCCTGTTTTAAAATTTACTACGTACGCTTTTAAATTATTGTAGCCAATAAAGCTTGCACCTGTTCACTTTGAAATGTGATGCAGCACGAAAATACTAGTTTTCAGTAATTTTCATACGCCCCCCCAAAAAAAAAAAAAAGAACTCTAATATTCAATCTAATCCTATCATAATACTTATTGAAATCCTTAATCAGTAATCACTACATCAAATTCCATTTTGTAATGCTTTTATCAAACATCATTATTGAAGGCAATTCTTCCAAAAAGTAATCTGCCCACTGATGTTGGAATTTCAAAGAGAAATTTGATTTTTATTTTTCAATATCTAGTAAAAATCATATATCGAAAATATGTCGTTGTAACTCCTTTACCTATTTATAGTTTATAACAAATTGTATATTGTTGGAAGTTGGTGCAAAACAGTTCATTTGTTAACTTTTTTCATTGAATTTATTAATTTTTATTAGTTGATTAACGTTTGATCAATTGAGTAGTTATATTTATCAATTTAAAAGTAAAAATATATTTTTTAAAATTTAGTTTTTTCTAAAAAATTTAAAATAATTATAAAATTAGAAAGAATCCTAAACAAATTTTTTTTTAAAATAATAAAAACTTTTCACTTTTTAATGATTTTTAAAAAAATTAGAAATTTTTTTTCATTTTTAATATTTAAAATAATTATTAATAAAGAAAATTTAAAAAAAATAAAAAAATTTAATGATTATTAATTATTTTAATAAAAAAATTTGGTTATTAACTTTTCTTTAGATTTTTTTTTAAAATTTTATTTATTAGTAATTATTATAAAATCATTAAAAATTTCTTTAGATTTTTTTAAAAATTTATTTATTAATAATCATTATAATAAAAATTTGAAAAAAAAATTTCCTTAGATGTTTGAAAAAAATTATTTCATAATAATTATGATAAATTCATTAGAAATTAAAAAAAATCTGATTATTTTAATTTTTTTAATTTTTAATGATTTATAATAATTATTAATTATTTTAACTTTAATTTTTTTTTAAAAAAACTGATTTTAAAATAAATTATATTTTTATTTTTAAATTAACACCTTTCTTTTGCTACTTGATTGATCATACATTAATCAACTAATAAAAATTAGTCCATTTGAGGGAAAAAGATGACGAAAGAGTTATTTTGCACCGATAACCAATGGTATCAAATTTGATATGAACTATTTTTGAATAGAGAAGTTGTAATAACATTTTCGATATAATAAAAGAGCACAAGATGTATTTAATCCGGTAAAAATCTGAATGCAGCAATCCCATTAACCATTTGAGCTAAGTATAGTTCTCCAAAATTTTGATTTGTGCATACAAGTAATGAATTTGCTAATTGTTGATCCTATGGAATCATTATGTTTTCTTTTCTTCTTTTTTCCCAAGACCAATCCAATTTGTGCATTCAAAGAACAATAATGAAAAAAGAAGAAGCTGAACAATTCACCTCGTTATCTAATCGTACTTGCATTTGGTATTCTAATTTTCTCATAAGCTTTCAAATTCTCCAGACAGAAGCTCTTTAAAGTCTCAAAAACAGGAGGTAGACCCTTCGTCAAGCACTCTGAAGCAGCATCATTGGCTAGTTTAATAGCTTCTTGATGAGTTGATTTTTGTTCATCTAACATCTCCTGCATAGCAACTATAACATCTTGCTCAAATTGATCCTCCAAATCCTTCAAAAGGTGTTCGATTTTAATTCTCTGGCGGCATTCTTCTTCTCTTTTCTCCTGTAAATGGTGTAAGCTTGAAGCAAAACCAAGAATGGCCTGATACACTCCATCTTCTGAAATACTCTGAATTGCGTTATTCCAATCGTTACAAACAACAAAAATGGCAGGAGCTCCTATCCTGGTTGGAGACAATGGATCAACTTCATCTAGGGTTTTTAACTCCTCAGATATGTACCTCAGAAGCCAATTGTTCAAGAATGACACAAAAGCTTTCTGGGTTCTAATGTAGTGGCTAAAGCGTGCTGCCCATTTCAAGGTTTCTTTCTCTAGGTTTTTAGTAGCCTTTAAGCGTGAACCTTTGCGAGTGTGCATACGAGCTATATGTACACAAGTCTCAGCATTTTTAATTGCTTGAAATTGCTTTTTGTGGCACTTGATAATGAGCTTCCACATTCTTGCCAATCTGCACAGAAATTCATGATATTGTGAGTAACAAAGGTAAGGCTAACCATATTAAACTGAAACAATCCTATTATGCTCCGAGCTTCATTTAAAGACAGTCCATGCCTTGTTAACTATAGTCATTTAGAAAGAAAGTGCTTTTTCATTTCACAACAATCTTTGTGATCCCTGTCGGTACTTAATCCTCAAAAAGACTAAAATGAGAATGCTCATTAAATAATAATCAGGCTATAAATCAAATTTCACCTAATGCTATGATTAGCATGATTATAGCAGAAATGCCGCAATGACATACCCTATTATCAATTCATTCACTTGGGTTTGCAGCTCTTCGTCTCTTATTTTGTGAATCCTGATTGATATTGCTTCAATTGCACCGACAGGAACTTTAATTTTTGAAAGCAAACTTTTAACAGAAGCTTGTGTCCTATCAATCTGACTGGCCTCAGCACCTATATCATCTAGCCTTTTTAGCCTCTTCCACTCATTATCATAAATAACACGGAGTTTTTCCTCAACCTGACATCAGTGAAACAGGAAAACAAATTAGATTCAGTCCCAGCCATAATTAATTCACAAATAACAAATACAATTTAGGAGCAGTTTTCAGATATCTCAACCAAAACATGTCAACATTTTGGAATTATAGAAAAAATGTAAGTGCAAAGCAAAATAAACAGAAATATCCTAATTTGAAAGCTGTACAATGCTGCTGGAAGTACACTCACAATGCCAAAATCTTCATCAGGGAGCCTAAAAAGTTTTAAGTTTAATTAAACTTATAATTCCGTTGAGATTACGTGATTTCCGTGATATGTAGTTACAACATAGTATTACATTATTTGACAAGGCACAAAGCAGGATAGAATGTATTTCTGATAACAACCAAAATTCATATTCTTCAATGCATACATCATTTTCATGGTTTTGTATGGCATATAAAGCATTGCAAAAGCTATTTAGTTGATTTCTAATGCACTTATGTCCACCATAGCATGACATAAGCACTTGTAAGTTACATCTAAAAACAGAGTAGTAAGCAATAACATTAAGAATAAGGAACAACTCATGTCAGACTTCAATGTTGTGACATACTTCATACTAGGACTGTGTCCTATATATACTCGCTCTTGGTGAATCTTCCATGGCAAGCCACCCCACCCCACCCCATGGACACTTATAACTAAAGATATTCACATGCAGAAAGCATCAGAATATCATAAGGAAATTGCATTAATTTCACACTACATGATAGATAAATATGATCCAAAAAACAGGAAGTTTATGTTGCACATTTGTGTATGAAGTAAAAATTGAGTACATAGATCTTCAAGCTCATGCATTGTGCATAAATTGGTTGACAAAGATGAATTCACTGACTAAAAATAACCAAAAGCCAAGGGCTCAGAACCATATAATAGAAGGAAACTACACTGATTGAAATAAATGACAACAGAAGCATCATGCAAGAATAATATTTTCTGTACAATAAATTTGAGCGTTTGCTTGTAGGAATAAGAGAAACTTTCATACTGTACTAACATGCATGGGTGAAGTGAGTATGAAACCTAAAAATATTTTATCTTAAGCCTATAGAAGCACTGGCATTCATATTTTGCAAGCAATTAAAGAAAATATTCAATTTTTCCATGTAAACTTCCAAGTATGAATAATTTAGATGACATACCTTAACCTCCTCATAGAGTTTCTTCTCCCATACATACAGCTCCTCCAAAGTGGAAGACAGGTGATTTATTTTTCTATTAACACCCCTATAATTTTCACAGACAACTTTGGCTGACTTCATTTTCTTGGAAGCAGATCTACTTGACTGAATATAAGCTGGGTGCTTTGAAGACATTGCAAGAGAAGGAGCTGCCAAACTTACAAGCTGAGAGGCAAATACTTCAAGGCAACACATGATTATAAAACAGGTCAGACTTCTTTTTGCAGAAATTGACTTCATCAAATACAATCAAAAGAAAAATTTCATTTCTTTTATAAGAAACACACGATGTCCTTATCAAAGAAAACCAACGCAAAACCTATGAAAATTCGAGTAACACAAAGTTGATAGGGACACTGTGGTCAATTTGACAAAAAATGATGCATGAGCATTCATAACAAATAAATAGATTACATGAGAAGATGAAGATGAGATAACTTGTGGTAAACGAGGTTTGAGACAGCTAAAAATGTTCATAACAGGCTCCAATTTCAGGATTATATTGAGCAATACACTAGGCAAGCCATATGTTGCTATTAAGATGCATGCCTCTACTTTCCAACACTGTAAACAGGGCGTTAATTGGAGTTTTGTAGAGGGAGTTATGGGCATTTAAGAGCAAGTGTTCAGGCTGCCAGAATCCAAAATCTCTCCTGATCATTTTGCCTTCACTGGCAGCAACCCTGACATGCAAATTTTAGTTAATGTAACTTCTATATCTTGTATAAAACCTTTGGATTATTATTGATTTTTATCAAAGTCTATGATTTTTTGTTAGAATATAAATAAGGGTAATAGTTATTGATAGGATTGAGAGTAATTTAGCAACTGTATATATTTTTCTGTAAAAGAGAAGAAATTTTCAGTTATGCTATTTAACTATAGCCATCTTGTCCCAATTTCATCTGGAAAGCCACAAAACAGCCACTTTTGGCCACTTTGTAAAGCCTAGCCGTTTCATAATGTTGGCTATGCTTGTAAGTAATGCAGATGAGTTTGAAAATTGCAAAGCTTTCCAAGGAGTAGCTATTCACTTGGCTACCCAGTCACTTAGCTACCCACCCGGCTATGCTACTTTAATGTAAAGGAAACCACTTTAACTATCCTAATAGCAGTAGCTATCTTCATTAAAAAGAGTAGCTAGTGTTTCTTCTTCTTGTTTCTATTTTATTTTTTATTTTTGCAAGACTCGGAAAAAAATTAACAAATGTAACAACTCTTACCTTTAACTTTGGCACCCGTAGTCTGAAAAGGCAGCTTGCCTGCCTCAAGCAATATGGAAACCTCTTGTCCATAGTTGAAAGCAGTCTCAAACTCATTCTTGATTTCCTTTACTGCTTGCTGAAGATCCCTTGGATAATGGATATCTGTTTCAGAACATTCACAATCGCAGATGAATGATCGGCCCTCCTCTGAACCCTCACCTTCTTTCATTGCATTCTCCTGTTCCATGTCGATCAATCCATGGGAACTGGAACATGCCATGGTATGTTCTTCAACAGTGTCGGGTGTTTTTTTAGACCCCTTTTCTTGTTCTGACTGTATGTGATCATCATTCTTTGTGCCACCACCAGAATCTCCACTTGTATCTCTCTCTGATTTCTTCTTCTTGGATCTTCTTTTCCTCACTAAACTTTGATCAGTATGATCTTCCAAATCAGGGATTCCCTCTTTTTCTCTGATTTTTCTGACTTCGGAATCATCACTCTCAGCTCTGTCACCAGTTGTATTCTCCTGAGAATAGCAATTATAGTAATGATAGGCATCATCAACCTCAGGGTTAAATGGATTGAATTTCCATGCAGAACCTACTGTTGCAGGAGAAGGGGCAGCAGCAGGAGCACTCTCTTCTTCTGAAGGATCAGTATGGGTAGGAGGGAACCAAAACTCATAATTAAAAGGAATGCCCATTGGAGCTCTAGACGATTCCCAATATCCATTAGGAGCACATGTGGCATTGTTTTCCGAATTATCCATTGCAGCATCCAAAGGCACTATATTGTTTTCTTGAGGATACCTCACATCAATAATTGGAACATATACATCTTTATTGTCACAATTAGGGCTCCTATGCCTAGAACCTGCTGGAACACTAGAGGACATATTTCCCACATGTCTACTCGAATTCGCCCCAGCTTGAAAATCTTTCTCTGATCCAGAAGACCCTGAAGAATCTCCTGAAAAATGCAAGTGATCATGAAAAGAATCAGCTAACGAATCAGAATCCGAGGAAGAAAATTTCAAATGCGAATCCTCATCAGAACAATCACTAGAAAAATCCGGAATAATCTCTAAATCTTCCTCTAAAAATCTATAAAGTGCATTGCCCATTTCTACTAATGATTGCAAATACATAATGTGAGCTGACACTAATTCATAACGACAATCAACCGCAGCCTTAATCAATTCTTTCCTTTCTTTACAAAGACTAACCAACTTTAAACTATCCATCTTAGACATTCCAATACCCATATCTCCAAAAACACACTAAAACCGTAAAATTCCTAACCTTAAACCCTACAAGACACTATGAAACTTGAGAGACAAGAAACCCTAATAAGCTTTTTCTTGAAACTTATGGGAGAAACCCAATGTAGCAGACTCGACACTCAATGAAATCCAAACTCAGCAGTTGGAATATAAAAAGGAAATCTGTTGGGGCGCAGTAATGAATGATATTTATTTATAAATGTTTTAAAAAGGGAATCCGTGTGAAATCAGGAAGGTAAATAAATGCAACTACTATATATTTGCGGATTTTTAGTGATACGCAAGTTATTATGGTAAAAGATTTTAGATTTAAGAGCTTTTCCATTTCAAAATAGGAAACAGATAATCCAAAAAAAGAAGGGGGAAAAAAAACCATAGGAAAAAAAAGTTCGGAAACTGACCCATCATTAATATTTTCTTAATTGACATTTTTTTCTAGTTGGAATGTATTTTCAATGTTGAATAATTTTAATTATTTTCAAGATGACTTTACCCTATTATTGGACTCCCAATATTGTTAAATATTTGGTCTTGGATTATACCAATTACCATGGTAGTAACTTCTTCAAAATCTTAAATCCCATCCTTTCCCTTGAGATTTTCAATATAAAAATCCAAGTAGAATTTTAAAATCTCTCGTCTTTTGGAGACCTTTTCCTCTCAAATGAATGTATTCTCTCTGGACCAGCTTTTAATTTTTGAATAAGTAAATTCAGTTTTATTAACAACCACACCTATCCTTTTGAATGTTTTCTTTTTTCTGCACAAATCATAAACATCACCAGGTACCAAAATTTGAGCTTTTGCTATTTTTAGCTTATTTTAGCAAAGCCCAAAAATCATGCAAATAACCACCTACAAGTTCCCTCTAAATAAAGCACAAACAGCAAATTTAACCCAGCTAAAAAAAAAAAAGAAGGCGAAATCAGTGAAAAAGCAAAATACAGCCAACCCAGATAAGAAATCAGCAAATGAGAAAACGGGTTACTTACTCTTCCATTCTCGTCAGTATTTATGAGGAGAAACTTGTTCCTGTTGTGAGAACCGGCCAAGAGTCGACCCCTGTTGCTCATCTTCTTTGAAAAACACAAGACTAGAGCTCCAACTGAAAACTGGGTCAACTCGTTCATCCTACACTTGTACCAAATTTGAGTTTTTGGTCATGGTCATTCTAGTGAACGATCTCTTCTCTGCCAATGTCAGAAAAATGAGAGGGAGAAACAAAGTTGTACAAGAGTTTTCGTTGGGCTTTTCTTTTCTGCAGATCTACTATATTTATTGGGTTTATACTCTTTAATCAATAGCTTTGGGCCTTTACCCTTTTACCGAAGGAGATAATGCTTTTTTTTTTAAAAAAAAAAAAAAGGAAGAAAACCTGAATCATGCATCTATTTGTATCAATTCCGAAAATGAGGCCTTGTAAACAGGATTTAGTCAAATTTGACCCCATATTTGTAAACTTTTTATCAATTTGACCTAGTAGAACTAAATCAAGAGATAATTTTGTTTTTCAAAATTGAAGAGATTAATGTTTTAAGAAAAAAATTGAAATTTCTGAATATATAAAATTTTTAAGAAATAAAATTTTTAAATGCTAGGGCATTAATATTTCTTAAGCATTTAAAAAAATATATATTTTTTAAAAATTATTATCAGTAGTGATCTTAGAATTGAGCATAATTTAGCTCAAATTGATGAATTTAATAGAAATAAACTGTTAAAATCTGATATAAATCTTTTCCATGGATTCATTTGCGGGATTGGTACTAACAAAGACGCAAATGCTAAGGATAAGAGTAAATTATTATTTAGTACCTATTTTTTGAGTGAGATTATAACCTAACCCTTCAAGGTTGAAAATCTATAATTTAGTCATTGCACTCTAATTGACCATGCTCTATATAAAACATTTTTGACCATTTTCTTAATCCTAATATAGCATTTGAATATTTAATTTCTTTGAATAAACCTGCATAGATTAGTGAGATTTTAGAAAACACCACTCAACCAATCTTTTTTTTTTAAAAAAAAGGGGAAAACCTCAACAAAAGTCAAGAGAATAATTTATAATATAAAATACTAAGTTAAAATTGAGTTTAAAATTCAGGGACTAAAGAACAATTTGGTCTAAGGATAATACTAGAATGAGGAAAAAAAGGGCAAAGGCAATTTAGACAAGTGGAGGAAAGACATTCAGTTGTGACTAGTGACGTCCGCTCCAACTCTCCAGCATAAAGCAAAGCAGACAGAAACGGAGATAAAAAGTTTGTACGAAATTTTTAACTTCCACACACTCTCTCTCACCGTACCTGCAAAATTGTAGATCAAAGATCCATCGATCTATCTGGAGTTGCACCTGATACCATTCTTCTCTTACTACCACTTGCTTCCCTTTAAGCAAAACCAAGAAAGGTGCTCTTTTTTTTCCCCCCAAGTTCCTTGCTTTTTTGGCACTTTTTGTTGTGTTAAGTCATGAATCCGTTAACTTAGCTTATCTGGGTCAGGCTTGGATTCTGAGATTTGGCTATGTAGGATTGTGGGTTGTTGTCAGATACTTAAGGTAGTTTGTGTTTTTGTGTTATTTATCCATCTCTGAGTTGAGTTTATTTACTTTGATTTTTCCTATGTGGAAATGTAGTATTTCTTTTTTTTTTTTTTCTTGGCCAGTTCAGTTCTTTATTTGGTGTAAGTTAATATGACGCTGTCAACAATATTTATTTTGTGTTTGAAGATTCTATCTGGCATGAATCCATCATTCATCAACTTATTTGGATTGTTGTATGTGTGCGTTGCCTGAGATTTACGTTGGTATTGGTATTAATGGTTGTGGCAGTGTGAGAATTGGTCTCATAAGATTGGTCCAGGTAGGAAGCTAGATTTTTAGTGACAATCAAGGAGAGAAAAGATTGTTTCTTGTTTACTTGTGCTTATATTATCCAAAATTTGAACATCCCAAAACCAGCACATGGTAAAATTTTGCTAGTGTCAGTGTACTTCATCACCCACTCTCATGCATCAGCGCTCCGAAAGGCCTTTTTTTCTTTTCGTTTGGTCTGTGGAAGAACCTCCTTTTGCTTGTTTTATGCCTAAACTGCTATCGTACTCTTGTATTTTTGTAATTTTTTTTTCTGTTCTACAAATGGATCTGCCAAATTGCCTTGTCTTATATGTCTGTGCTTCATTGTTGTTTTCACTTATCGATGCATAATGGTTGTGTCATGAAGAATTGATCATGTCTTGATTCTGATAAGAGCTATTATGCAGTTTCCAGTTATACACTGTGGTTGAATTTGGAGCATAGTGACAAAGAGAAAGGAAGGTATTCTCTATGCCTTTGCATGTGGAAAGGGTTGCATCTGACAACACAGTCCATTGCCTTAAGATAATGCTGAAAGTCTGCATTGTCTTCAATGGAAATTTGCATTGGAGAAGTTGGTTATGGACATGAGTAAAGGTAAATTAATATACAATGCTGAAATAGTCCACCTATGAAGTTGTTTTAAAGACAAGCCTCAAGTTAGTGTTATGGGTAAGGAAAATTATTCACAACCAATCAGTGTTGCAGTCAGGAATAATGGTCACTCACGTAGTGAGAGTGAAGATTCAGGGACTGACTCACGTTGCAGTCTAGATGCAGGTAGGGCAACATGCCGTGTGTGCCACTGTGCTGAATCTGACAAAAGGGGAGATGTTGCTTTGGGATTTTTGGGCATCGTTCCTCCATTGCAAGAAGCTCGTAAAAGTAATGGAGCAGTAAAACCTGAAAGCAAAGAAGTCCCCTTGGATGCTGAAGCTGATCAGTTCCATAGCAAAAATACTGGAAGAGAATCAGGGTTGGTTGAGTTCATTAGCCCTGAAGGGGAGGTTTTCATTTGTAATACAGATACCGATTTAGAACTGGGTTTATGCCACCAGCAAGACTTGTTAATTGAACTTGGCTGCTCTTGCAAAAATGATCTTGCCCTAGTACACTATGCATGTGCACTTAAGTGGTTTGTCAATCATGGATCCACTGTCTGTGAAATCTGTGGACATGCTGCTATAAACATCAGGACTTCGGACTTAAAAAAGGTCATGGATGCTTTGAAGGATTATGAAGCATTGAGGGAAAGGACTGCCACTGGAGATCCTAATCCTGCTCAGGTACAAACTAGTGCAGGTGTAGATCCTGATGCTGTTGCTGCTGTTAGAAGGCAACGGCTAAGTGAAATTTCGTTGTGGTTTAGTCCACACAATCATAACAGCAATAATTATAATAATAATTCTGCTGCAGTTTCACAGGTTGTTTCTGAACAACCTTTGAATACTGTCACAGAAGATGTTGTCCCTGCTGAGAATCTTGCAACTAAATGGGCTGTGGAGGGTACAGGGATTTTGCTTGCTACAGGGCTACTCACTGTTACTCTAGCATGGCTTATTGCTCCCCGTGTTGGAAAGGTATGTTGAGTTCAGCGTAATAGGAGTAAACTAAGACTCGTATACATGGAATTGTTTTGCTATTTTCCAAGTTGGCATTCTAGTTCAATATATATTGTTACTGGGTTGTCTTATGTGCCACTGGTTCTATGAACAAGAAAATTTCACAAGTGTCTGTCAATCCATTACCATCACAGCAAGAGGTAAAAGTAACTAGTACATCTCAGTGAAACACATTGATTTTTGAATAAACCAATGGAACATGTTTTCTCGTATTGCCACATGTTTTTTGGCTTTGCACATATAAAGCTCTGTTTCCATTAGTTGGTGACTATTAGCTAAGAGTGATGTATGGGAATGTTATTTTCTTCAATTAATTTAGAAACTTTATTAATTACCTTCAGATATTACAAAGGAAATAGCATCAAAAGTAATAGAAAAGATATTTGGAAATTATGCATATATAGATTCTTAAGTTGGAGGGTTGGGAATGTTCTCAACTGCATTGCCTATTTTGCATAATGTATTCGGACATTATGCATATATAGATTCTTAAGTTGGAAGGTTGGGAATGTCCTCAACTGCATTGCCTATTTGGCATAATGTTTGTGAACTGGTTCCATGAAACACAACAAGTGTTGGTGGTGGCATTCTTTAGAATTGGAGATTTATCAAACTTGATCATAGGTGGTTGCTGGGATTGTAAACTAGATTTAATTGAAGAAGGGGGCCAAGGGGATGACCTCATGAAAAATAAGGGAATTGGTTAATAGTGAGCCTTTACACTGTTTTCATGGCATGAGATGGAATGGCAAAGAGAAGGTGCAGTATAGGCTTTAGGAGTATACTATTAATGCCTTTACACTGTTTTAATGGGTTGGCATGAGATGGAATGGCACAGAGAAGGTGCAGTATAGGCTTTAGGAGTATACTATTAATGCAGAGTTTTGAGCACTTTTGAGGACAGATTTTCCTTGGAAGTATATCCGTTGCCTTTGGGCTTCACCAGTATTGCTTCTTTAGGACTGCCACTGGTTAGAGGATTTGGCTTTTTATGGATGAATGAATAGGAGAAAATCCTTGAATGTTCCATTGCCTAGCTGCTTTTGTTTTGTTGCTTGTGTTTCCTATCCTAGGTGTGTTGGACCTTTTCAAATTAGTTTGTACTGTTGTCTGCCTGGCATGGATGTTGGTTGTTAGAATAACCTGCTTCTTTAGCCAACTGACCCGTTGTGTCTGTTGAATATAATTCTGTGCTTTCTCTTTGTTGTTATGAAAAGGAAATCAAGAAAATCATGCTGGAGCCTTTTTATGCAATTTTTAATTTTTTAATTTTTATTTCATAAGTCTTGGTGTTGAGATAAAATTGATCAAATTCTGATGCAGCACTCTGGGGGAAAGTGAACTCTGTTAAAGAGATGAAATTGCATCACAGAAGGAACTTTGACACCATTTAATATAAGAGTTTTGTAGATCTTTCTTATTGCTTGTTTTTCTCTTTCTTCTGTAGCTGTTAAATGAATCGCAATTTCTTGAGCTTGTTATAGGAAGTTTTGTGACAAGGATGTAAGCCGTGAAACATTGTCATCATCAACATGCACCATATGAAATTCCAATGGCTAATGCATTGCCAAATTGGTAGAACAACTCTCCTTTGCAAGTGGGATAGTCAGTTCAAATTTGTCTTCACTTGTCCCTTAAATTCTTTTTTTTTTTTTTTTGAAAAAAACTATAGTAATTGTACAAGTCTTTTATTTTTACTCTCCTTTATGTCAGGGGAAATGGTAGTTAGGTCTAGAGATGATTCTTCTCAATTTTTTTTTTTTTTTTTTTTCGTGTGGAGCTAGTTTATTGTCTAATTGGTTTGTTGCTGTAGATTCTTTGTTTATGCCTCTGCATGTTATTTGATGTTCATTTTGGTTGCAAGAGAATTCCAATGACTTTAGTTAGTTGTATTATGTGTTTTATGCAACTTATTAGCTGCTGTTTTCAGAAAACTGCCAAAAGTGGTCTTCATATTCTCCTTGGAGGTATTTGTGCTCTAACAGTCGTGGTCTTCTTTCGCTTTGTAAGTAATTTCTTTATTTTTTTCTTTCTGGCCATGTATTCTGGCATAAATGCATTTGATTTATGGATGCATATGCTTAGTTGTGTTATAACCTAAGTACCTTGGCAGATGGTAGGAATCATGATCCTTAGGTTTCACAGAAACTTGGGATTGTGGAACAGCACTCCTGTTCAATATAACTGTTTTGAAAGATGGTGTTGATATGCTTGGCTGAATGAAACCTGAAATTTTTTGATGTAGTGGTGCAGACAGAAATGTTTAGAGGAAAAGTAACTGAATTTCTAAGTTGCAGCTTAGGTTGATCATTTGATATAGAAATTTGTTGGAAATTGTAGTCTTTTTTGGTCCTAATATATCTTTATTCAGGTCAATTAGTTGTTCCTGTGTTTTTATAATTTTGGGGTAATTTCCGTACATTCTGGAAAGTAAAAGATGGTCCTGGTTTCTCGTTGATGGTACATTCTTCAATGGTCATAACTTGTGGCCTTTGTTGTGTATTTTAGAGTCAAAGTACTAAAGGGTGTATTTAGAAGTCCAAATCCAGATAGGCATGGTAATTTTAATTGTGTTACAGAAAGATACACAAATTGTTAGTTTCTGCTTAACAATAAATATAGAGAATTCCAGCATCATTATGCCCATTGTGATGCTGTAATTTCCTTCGTCCATCTTTTTAGTGGTTTAAGACAAAACATTCGCTTGAAATTTAGATTCTCAGGAGTTCTCTGGCGGCAAGGAATTAGCTAGGTTTTCTTCTTTGAGCAATAAGAAACCATTTTAAGAAATTAGGTTTGTAGCATGTTTTCGGCAGTAATTGAATGTCAAAACTGCATAAATGCTCAGTGTATGGGTTTATAATGGTGAAGATGTTGGGAATATTATTGATTCAAGTGCTAAAATGTGATTTGCATCCTATGACGAGTGTAAATATTTAGGGAGAAGAGCTTACCTAATTTGCATGTGCTGTATTTATCTTTTTAAATTCTTCTCTTTATCCATTTCTTTAATTTTTGGAAACTCTTTGCGGAAAAAAATTGTGGAAATAGAATCGTGTAAAGCAAAACAGTGAAGGAAATTTGGTGCCTATTTGTTCTAATACGTAAATGATCTGAGCTGATGTTTATGCTTTTGCAACTTGCAGATTGTGCTGACCAGAATCAAATATGGACCTGCTCGCTACTGGGCTATCTTATTTGTCTTCTGGTTTCTGGTGTTTGGTATATGGGCGTCACGGACACATGGTGCTCATACCACATAGTTTCTTGGAGATCATAAACACATGTAAATTTCTTCCTCTCTTTCGTGGTGGTATTTTTTTTTTTCTTTTGACTTGCCAAATGGTAAAATTTGAGCAGTAGTGGCTTTTAAGAACTTCATTGTGATGCCATTCATGACCTTGTAGATCATATGTTATGTAATTCATGTGAATAGACAAGACCGTTACTTGGCATAGAATGCTGTTGGCATGAACTGCCATTTAAGAGTAACATGATTTTTATCTGATTGTTTTCGTTAGTTTATTGTGGTTAAATTTGTTCTGAGAAATCTTCCGAAGATTCAGCTACCTCAACTAGGGCCTTTCAAGAACGGTGTTTTCATCTCCCAAATGGATTTGCAAATTCTGTATTTGGTAGCATGAGTTGGAGCAAAAAATTAGAAGTCGGGCTATGAATTTATAGATGAAGTAAACCTCTAATTCCCCTTTGATTTTCACAGTTGAGAGTGTTTTGTTTCTTGGTTCAAATAGATACTTTTAGCTTTGATTAAGCACACAAAAACAGCTAGTAAGTACTATGGTATGGTATCTATTCCGAAATTAAAACTTGTAATTTGATTGCTACAATAAGGCCTTTCTGATGAGACTCAATTTCCAGAAGAAGAAGAACAAGTGATGAATTGAATGAATCTATAAAGAATTGGAAGAAATACATAAGGTAGAAGAAATTTTAGAGAAAGAATCAAAGAGCAGAAGGGAGAAATTTCAGTTTGCGAACCAACTGATTTTCCACATTCATTCGCTCCTCTTTTATTCCTAAACAACTGGCTAATCAACCCCCAACGTAATTGCTAACTAATTACTAACAACCTGTAACAAATTACCTATCCATTTGCCAGCTCCACAACTTCCTTGCTAGCTCATTGCCATTAGTTAGCTATGTCAGCTTTTATTGTTCAGCTCACCATCTTCCCCAAATGATCTGCATCAATACTCCCCTCTTAAGAAACCTTGTCCTCAAGGTTTAAAATCTGAAAACTTGGCCTGTAAACGTTTCTGTTAGAAGCTCACTCAAGCCAAACCTCTCGGATCAAAGCTAACATAAAAGGCCTCTGGAATTTTAACGTCATTTAGAAATCTTGCAGCCAAAATTTCTACCACAATTCCATCAGATGCAACAAAAAATGCCAGCACAAGGTTTATGAAGTGTTTCTCTGAATCAAACAATGCTTCCCAATACTGCATGTCCTGGGAGAGATCAATCTCCTCATCTGATTCTTGATTAGTGGAAGTAATTGAAGACTCAAACAACTGACTAATCAACCAACTAACTGCTAACTAATTACTAACAATCCGTAACAAACTAACTACCCATTTGCCAGCTCATTGCCATTACTTAGTCATGTCACCTCTTACTATCCAGCTCACCATCTTCCCCAAATGGTCTGCATCACTTTCCCAGGTATGGTAGAATTGCCAGTTGGAACACTGATGGCGGCGACCATTCCTCCCCATGAAAAGTAATTCATCGCCTGAACTTTTCACCTTCATCCACTGCTTCTGGGTCCAATTCATCTTGAACGCCTCAAAATCTTTCGTTTCCATTCCAAAGATTTCTCAACAGCCCCAGTATTCCCAACGTCCAAGAACAAAACAAGCAACTAGTTAAACCGAGAAAAAAAAATCTTCTCTGTTCAATTTCATAACATCGGTGGCACATGGATTAGGAACACATAATTAAATATGCAAGAGTGGAGGCACCAACGTTTGGGAGTTCAATCTGAGCATTGGACTACATGCTAACAAAATATTGTCATTAACTGTACTGGTTATTAGTAACAGCCAGCCATGAGTAGAGGCAACATCGTTTGCTTCATGCTGGTCCTTATTTCTGTAGCTAATAATTTATAGTCCACAAAAATTATTAGCATATTCCTTGTAACCACACAAGAAAGGATTAAAGACAGCCGGGCCTTTAAGGCCTAATTCTGCTTGACCGAACGAAAAACCCAATTTCGTAAGGATTTCAAGAATATGGCGGTTCTCAATAATATGATCATGTTTACATGAAGGGGGAAGTTAATGGAGTTATTCCTTAATATTAGGTTAGAAACAAGACCTTTCAAAACTTTAAAATCATATTAAGATGTGAGAAGAGAAGAGGCAAACAGAGAATTTTAACATTTATAGATAAACCTAAAGGGTAACTTTTTAAGTATCACATTTTCAAGATAAGTTTTCTCTCCTTCCTCTCTCGTTCTTTTTACAAAACTCCTCCTTATAAACTCTAGTTTAGACTGCCGTCGGCTACATTTAGCTGATCACAACCTCTTTATATATATATATATATATATATATATATATATATATATGAATGAGATTTCTCTCATCTTTTTGTATATTTATTAGAGTCTTATCTTTTCAAATCTAATTTGTAGGTACGCTTTTTTTTAAAAAAAATAATAATAAGGGGAGTTTTATATATTCAAATCTAGAAGTTTAGGTTCTTTAATTAATAAATGTTTTGAGATTTTATATTGTTACTGTCATCCATTAGCAGGCTGATTTCCTTTCAGGGTTGAAAAAAATAATAATAAACTAAGCAGAAACAAACTAATCATTTTCTTGTGTAAATTAACTAACTAAGCAAAAAATAAATTAAGGTGGTTTGCACCGACCATCAATAGCTTTTAGTTTAACTTACATCATGTCTTCGCTGCAACATGTTGGCATGCAACATTTATATATCTCTCTGTTCGTAGCTCGTTTTGTTGGATGTTGCTGTTCCTTTAGTACTATAAATAGGGATTAGGGGTTTTAGCTAAACGGAAGGCATTGAGAAACTTTCCAGATAGTTCACAGCTAGTTTTGACACTGCCATGAGATGCAGTTGGTTAGTAGTTCCAACAATATTTAAAATGGAAACTATTATAAATAATCATCGTTCGAAACCACATTGCTCACAACACAATAACAAAGTCAGTTTTTCATTATCATCCTTATCCCATTACTTTGATCATCTTCATCAAAATAATGAATCCTACAAGTCGCGCTTCATGCCTTTATTTTCTTTTATTTCATTTTATTCTGAATAATTATTCTCATGCTGCACCTAACCTTGGACCCTTCAAATCCGATATTTCCATACCGGCTCTATTTGTGTTTGGAGATTCTTGGGTGGATAGTGGAAACGGAAAATATCTGAACAATTCAGATCCATCTTCTGCATATGGTGTGGATTTTAAAGAAGGTCAACAGAGTAGGGCCTCTAATGGAAAAACTATGGCAGATTTTATTGGTAAGAAAAAAACACATTTGAAGGGAGACAAGTCATACAATTCAGATAAAATGGTTTGTAAATTTTAAGTCTAAATACAAGTTTAATTGCAAGGACATGCATGATCCATTAATTTTCTTTATGAATTAAAAGGGGATTATAATTTCTTATCATCTGTTATTTATCTTTGAAATGTTTAACATTAACTGCAGCTCAAACTTTCGGATTGCCATTTCTTCCACCTTATTTGAGTTTGAACAAATCAGAAAGCATTCAATACGGGGCCAACTATGCATCTTCTGGCTGTGGCATTCTTCCTGAAACAAACAAATATGTATATGTGAGTATATGTAACTTGAACTTATAGATCATATGTTTAAGTTGAATACACACAACTTGAATAAATCTTTTGGAGTCAATTTGGTGCCTAGTTAATTTATACTTTCAAAAATTCATAATTTTTTAATTTTTTTTTACCTTTAGGCACGTTGCATGGATTTGGATGAACAAATCAAATTGTTTGAGAGTTCCTTGAAGAATTTAAGAACTTCTAGTGACTTGTCAAAATCTCTTATGTTCGTCAATATGGGACAAAACGACTTGGACCTCAACCAAGACTTGAGAAAAAATGATTCTCTAGATGCGGGAAAATATGTGGCCGAATCATTATCTAAACGATTGCAGGTAAATATATCTCATTATCATATATGATCATAAAATTAGATTGTATTAGGCAAATGAGAAAAAGAAAAAAAAAAAAAAAAAAAAAAAAAAAACTATGTACTAATAATTGATTTCTTTGGTTGGATATATATGTAGAGACTCTATGATCTTGGTGGACGCAAATTCTTAGTGAGCAATTCCCTTCCTCTAGGATGTAGACCAAGCTCGATAAAACAACAAAATCCCAAGACACCTTGTGTAGAAGGATTGAACAAGCTGGCGTCCCAATATAATAGCAACCTTCCTCAGATACTAAAAGACCTGGAATCCACTCTTTCGGGTTCTAAATTTGTTTTGTTAGATGTCTACAAGGTTTTTGAAGATGTCTTTGCAGCACCCAGTTCATATGGTAAGAAAACAATTTGTTACAACGATTATTATTAATTCATATTGTTTAATATATATTTATTTAGTATTATTTCTCTACACATCTTAGTTAGCCATTTTCTTGTAAATGCCTTGCAGGAATAACTGATATAAGCCATTCTTGTTGCTATGTACCCGGGATCTTCAAACCAATTTGTGAAAATGGAGAAGTATGCAGTAACAGAGACCAATATGCTTTCTTTGACGCAATCCATCCTACTCAAATAATGTATTCCATAATGATAAGTCGTTGCTTAAAAGACTCATCTATATGTAATCCAATCAATTTGATGGAGCTGGTGAAAGCTTAATTAACTCATGAATCATATATATATATATCATATGTAATCCAATCAATTTGATGGAGCCAGTGAAAGCTTAATTAATTCATGAATCATATGTTACATGTAATTCAGTCATTATTCTAAGACTCTTGTCCGCAATTGGTTTGCATCCGCAACTTTTATTGTCGTTTCAAAATCCCCTTGTCCCGGTAAAAATATGTGTAAAAATAAATGAATTAATGGTAAAAATAAAAACAACCTAAAAAGGTAAATATTAAGTTTGCCCCTTGAGGTTTACAGGGTGTCTCAATTTCATTTCAAAAGTTTGGTTTGTGTCCACAACTTTTGGTGTGGTTTTAGTTGTTTTTTTTTTTTTTTTTTGGTTATGTTTTTTGAAAAATATTTGTAGACTTTAATTTCATAGTTGAAGTTTATGAAATTAATATCTCAATAAAATCCCTAAAAAGTATTAAAAAGTAAATAAAAAAAACCAAAATGATACTAAAATAAAACTAGAAAATCAATAAAAAAGATTTTTTTTTTAATAAAGCAAATATAATAAAACTCAAGATAGTTAGTTTTGATGACCACGGTCACAAATTTGAATTTCATTGCACATATTTTTTTAATTAAATAATTAAATATAAGATAATGATCAACACGTTAAGATTTGATAATGTTAATGTTATTTTTTTCTTCTAATTAAATAGTTAAGTACAAGTTACAATGGTCAACACCTTAATCTTTGATGATGTTAATTTGTTAATATTTTCTTGGACATATATAAAGGTTAGGGATGACAATGGACAGATACTTGATCCATTAATTTAATTTTTTTACCTTACCCATAAAAAGAATACCATATTCATTATTTATTAAGAAATCATCATAAAAATCTTAGCACAGCTCATATTCGATTCATATTAGTTTACTTATCTATTTAATACCTGCTAAATTTAATTTATTAAAAATATTGATTTTAATCCCTATTATTTTCAAGAAAAAAATTTTGTCCTTAAAATTTATTTATTTATTTATTTGCATTTTAGTCATTTATTTATAAGCTTTTTTATACTTAAAGTTTTTGAAAAAATATTTTAATCCTTAATTTTTAAATTTTATGTAATTAGATCTCTACATGTTAATAAAAAATCTAAATAAATTAATGAGTATTAATAGAATAAAGAGTACCTATCCATATCTTGAAACGAGATATGTATTTTTTATCTTTACCTATTTTAATATTTATTAAATATTGTTGATGAATATTTATTAAGCTAAATAAAATGGCTATTTATGTTGGGTTGTTGTTAATGAATATTTACCCGTCGTTGTCATCCCTAATAAAGATCCTCAGCTAAAAAATGTTCAAGTATCCCGCGTATAGAACAATTGCCTTTTCATCTGGGTTGCTTGGTTGGGCATTTACTCTTGGAAGCCTTCCCAAGACGTCTTCCTCTTGTTGTGGAGCAGACGAAGCTAAGATGATGCATGGATGCCTGTTTCTCGATCTACGATAAAATTAATTAAAATAAGTAATCGTTTTATTTACAAAAAAAAAAAAAAAAAGGTTTGGAACTGTGATTGGCATATCTAAATTGTTAATCCTATGCGAGAACTTATTTAAATATTTTTAGAATATTCCTGTTCACTGACATGAAAGTAGGATCCATCGTTAATAAATATATTAAAAACAATTTTTTTTAGAATACTTCTGTTCATTGACATGAAAGTAGGATCCATAATTGATATATATATATACTTTTCCAGTAGATAAGTTTTTATTTTGGCTTTTAGTGAATTATTTTAGTCTTTATTTTGTAATCTTTCTTTTATTTTAGTTATAAAAATTTTATTATATTTGATTTTTATCCCTAAAAAGATTTTTTTTCTTTCAGTGAAACTTTTTATTTTGTTTTGATTCCAATTTTGTGATCTTTTCTTTATTTTGGTAATCAAATTTTTATTATGTTTAATTTTTATCCTTACTACATTAAAACTAAATACAATTTTACTATTTTAATGCTTTTTTGGCTTTTAGTGCACCTTTTCTTTTTGTTTTGATTCTTGTTTTATGATTTTTTTTCTTTATTTTGGTCATTAAAATTTTATTATATTTGATTTTTATTTTTACCTTATGCATAATGAATATTTGTAGTCTTATTGTTCATTAGTGTTTTCCGGCTTCTAGTGAAAGTTCTTTTTATTTGGATCCTTATTTTATGATCTTTACTTTATTTCGATTATTTAAGTTTTGTTGTGTGTAATTTTTATCCTTATCTTTTGTCAAATGAGTTTTGAAATATTTCAATTTCATCCCGATTTGATAAAGTTTTTTTTGTTTCAAATTGTCTCTCTCTATTTCATTAACAAACTACAAATCAAGAACATATAATGGAAAATAATCATCTAAAATTCAAAAAAAATTGTCATATTATTATTTTAATTATGAGTTATTATATATATTTCTAATAAAATGTATGTTTGTACTAAACAATATCTAATTAGCAACATTATATTGCTTAACTTTGTAGATTTTTCTTTTAGTCGACCCCACGACAAGGCACGAGACATATATTTTGGTCCACCTATTCTCCGATTTTTTTTTCATGTGGTCTTTTTAAATAATTATTCTGAATCTTGTATTTTATATAGATGAATACATGAGAATGTTGTGTGACTCACCTCGTGGCAACGTTCGAGGTCTATACTAGTAATAACTACAACTCTAACATAAAGTAAACTATAAAAATACTTGTCTTAATTAAGTTCTAAGGGGAGAAAAATGAAAATAAAAGAAAAAAATTGATCCTTCGACTTTTATTTGGTCAATCTCATTATGGCTATAATCTTATAAAAAATTTATAGCATTGTGTATAGTTGTGATGTGTTTTGTGGGGTTATGTTGTTGGTGGTTGGTTATCATAGTGTTGCATTTGTTTTGATTTGTAATGCCATGCATAAGGACTGAAATTTAATATGGATGACATGATCGTGAAAAGGGCAAGCTAAGGCCAAACTAAAATATTGCACATCAAACAACGAGTTCTCCACTATAGACCATGCACTAGATCATCTAGTCTACCTTATTGTAAGATCTTTTCACCTCTATATTTGCTTCTCTAGAAATTTGTTATGTATAATGTTATTAAGGTTACTATATTAGGGAAATTAGCTACATCTATTATAAATAATTGTTGATGTGGCAATTTCTTAGGAGGAGTATTAGTTGTTGTAACTAAATGTTGATGTGCCAACTAGTTAGTTTAGTTAGAATTGTTATGAGAGCATTAGTTAGTTGCAATAAAGGAACTTAAAGGAGGGAACACTAATTCATTGATTGTGGTAACGTAAAAGAAATACAAATACAATTCTTTTTCAATCTTCTTCTTCTTCTTCGTATATCTCTCGTCAAATTCATTTTGTAAAGGAACCCTTAACAATTTGGTATTGAAGCTTCCAAGACTAATAAAATTAACAACTACGATAGTCAATAATATGATGAGAGCTCTAAAGAGCATAGAAGAAAGCAAGAAAAGCAAATTCAAGACATGCATCAAGAATTCTAAAAGAATGTTGAAGCTATTAAAACTCAACAAACACAACTTTAATCTAAAGCTTTGATTAAGACGAGTTATGGCAGAGAAGAAACCAAAAAGGGAGCAAAGATCACCTTCAAATTTCTCATAGGGAGCAAATGAAGCTCTAAAACTAGTTTATCCCGAAAATTATGGTAAGCTTCTTTTGACCTTCTTAAAATCTAGTCATAATTTTTAAATTCTTAAGGTTGAATTATAATTATTTTGAAGAGAGAAGTCATGTAGTTGGTTATAAAAATGTAAAAAAAAAAAAAATTAAGATGAATTTTATACATATTCATCAATGGGTAAAGATTGCTTCAATATATTTGAAAGAATGGGCAAAATTTTGGTTTGCGGTTTTTGTAGCATGAAGTGATTTAGGCAAATGGAAGGATTTTGTGAGGGAGATTTATCAAAAATTTAGTAGTAGAGAGGATGTACTAATAATTTAATAAATTTAGCTAGGAAAAAAAGTGGAAAAGTATGTGGAAAGATTTGAAGAACTTATATCTTTGATGATTGTGAGCAACCCTCATTTATCTAAATCTTACTTTGTTTTCAGATTCATAAGTAAACTCAAAGAAAATATAAAACTAATGCTAAAAATCTTGAAATCCACTCGCTCTAATACAAGTCTTTGACCAAGCATAATGGCAAGAAGAATCCATTATTGTCATGTCTAAGAAAGCTAAAAACCTACCAAAAACTTTCCCCACCTACAACTCCAATAAACTATATACAAATCAATATCAAAAACCTTATCTTTCTATAAATAGAAGTGAAACCACTATCTATTACAAATCCGCCAATCTCGGTATACCAAGAACATAACTAAAAATATTATATGATCAAAGAAAAAGGATGGGATTGTGTTTTAGATGTAGGGAGAAATATGCACCTAGCCACCAATGTGTTAAGAAATCCCTAAATGTAATAGAAAAGGTTGGAGGGGGTGTGAAGAGTTTGTAGATGTGGATGATCGTAAAGAAGAGGAAAGGGTTGGTAGGGGATAAAATTTATAAGGAATATGGGTTGTCATTACATGCTTTAACGAGTGAAATATGCCATGTTTGAAGAGATATGATCATCAAATTTCTTTAGTTCCAAGAGCTAAGATAGTGAATATCGGACCATAAAGGAGTTCCTATATGCACAAGTGAGAAACTGAAATGTTTATTAAGAAGATGTTACAAAATGGTGTTATTCAACCAAGTTCTAGTCTTTTTACATCTTTTGAACT